CTTTGGGTTGCGACCAATTCAGGCTGTGACCAGAGTCACGGAACGAATTAAGTTCGTAACCCGAGGTACCACTGTACTTATTAAAGGAGGTGACAAAGAACTTAAGAAGATTTGTTTTTCCACACTGCCAAAATCAGTTTGGAATTCTGGCCCAAAGATGGCTCTGATTTGGTTTGGCACTATCCCTTGATAAATGAGTACAAAGTCAAACCAGAATGAAAATTTGAAATATTCCTTAGTAGTATATTACAATGTAATCTTATAAAATCTACTCTGAAAATCTTACTGAATTCATTGGAGCTTACTTCTTGTAAGTAAAGGATCATACTCTAACATTGTCTTGAATTGCACTGCAATCCTATCCGTATTGTCTTAGCTGTAAGTTACATTATAGTGTTGCTCCCTAGTTTATCTTTGTTTAGGATGATTGCCCACACATTACAGTACAGTACTGTACACATATACAGTAGCTTGCCCAGCCAGTGTTGGTGGGGGTGTGGTTTTATATTTTATATATTTTATATATTTCTTATATATTTTTTTATATTTCTATCATCCATAGGTAAAACAACTTCTTTCCCCTTTTTTAATGTTTGAAAACAATTAGCCATAATGGATATATATTGTTTCCAATATTAGAGGTCATGCCTTTTATCACCATTTGTTGGATAAGATGAGTAGAGAGTATTGTTGAGCTCATGTTGTTGAGCTCCTGTGTTGTTGAGTGTTGTTGAGTTCATGTATTGCATTTGAGCTTCCCCAAGAAAGCAGATTATGAACTACTTAGGGCTTTGGTCTGATCTAGCATTGTATATTCACTATATCAATCCTTAACGTTCTTTTTTCAACATACTGGAGACATTCCTAATTTTCATACATTTCATGTATTTATTTTTGTTTAGTAACACTCTACTGGAATCCTTCTTTTTCTTGACAGTTGTAGAATAGTTTTGTCTGTTTTTTGTCAGTCAACTTGTACAGCCCCTCTCCTGGTGATACAAAAATCTTCTCTGCTGCTTTCATACTCTCTAACAATCTTTCTCTTAAAATCTCATATCAAGTCATGCCTTTTCTCACTCCCCCTTAGTTTGTTTTCTTGTTCTCTCACATCACTTTCAGGCATTTTAATTGTTTGAATGGCTATCACTGCTTACATTCTTTTTAAAAAATGCATTAGAATTGTTTAAGAATGGTAAAATTCCACTAAAATATTGGGCTAGGGTTTAGATGAAAATATTTTTTCCAGTAGCACACTTAGGACTAGACTCCCCAAAGAACTGTGATGTTTTAATTTTAAACTTCTCCAGGAAAAGGTATGTAGCTGTGGAAGAAAGCTCCAATCATCTGCCCTTGCCATCTTCATTTGCCAGAGTGCTGGAGCTAAGGAAGAAGTACATTTATTTATTTATTTATTGCATTTATTTCTCACCTTTTCCTTTGGAATTGTAGACAATGTGGATAAGGGTCTTCCATAATTATATTCATTTATTATCAGTAGCAGTAGTAATATATATATATGTTACTCCTTCGAGTCAGTCTTGACTCCAGGCAACTAACGGACAAGTCTTTGCAGTTTTGTTGACAACTTCTTTCAGAAGTGGTTTGCCATTACCTGCTTCCTAGGGCTGAGAGAGAGTGACTGGCTCAAGGTCACCCAGCTGGCTTTGTCTCCTGGTCTTTAGCCTGCTTTGCATCAACCATACAGTACATCAAACTGCCCTTCTAACAGTAGTAATAGTATGCATTTACTTATTGCATTTGTCATCTTTTTCTTTGGGACCTCAAGGCAGCATATAAAATAGTCTCCCCTCATTTTATCCCCACAATAAAATTGCCATGAAGTAGGTTGAACTGCGAGTTACAATCCCAAGTCATCCACCTTAGTCTTTTCAAGCTCAGACCAACATTTTAGCTACTCTAGCACAAAATATAATTAAAGAAATAACACTTTAGCAATGGCAGCACTTATCAATCTAATAAATGCTCACCCAGAAGGGAGTGGCAAGAGGAAGGAAGAGGGGCTTAAAAAAAAAAGAACGCTTTTAAATTTTATTGTAAATAGAGGAAGCAACAATAGCAGTACATTAGGTGGTGGCACAGTGTTTTATGCCTCCATTCTTACCATATATACTGCACAGAATCCCTCAACCCTGGCAGCACCATTGAGTTTCCAAGTATTAAGGATGTTTTGAAATTTATAGACAAGCTGACATTTCAGAAAATTAATTTCATGAATTTCTAGTTAGCAAGAACTTACTTAATAGCAAATGTAACAAAAATTGGCATATGCCAAGAGAACTGTACTTACTGTATTGCTTTGTTCTCTCTGTGTCTGTTCCTTGTTTGATTCCTTTGGACACTGGAATAAAGTACAGAATCCTCTGTTACTCGCCAGCTAGTTCCTCTGACTCATAAGCAGAAAAGCAACTAGTTCTGCTAGACTTTCAGTTTATGCTGTATGTACATGTGACTTTGTTTTCATCATGACAAATGACTGTCTCTCTCCCAGATATTTGGGAACTGGTTTTCATCAGTCCAAATCCCTTGTGAATGCATATGTAACTAAATAATCCATACCTCAGTCTTTTAATTCATTTCAAACAAAAGGAGTGATTAAGCCTATGCATCACAAGTGAGTTTGGTAATGACAAAGTTTTTCCAGAAGGCATCTGAACGACCTTAAGCAAGGTCCACCTATCTGCACCTGGAATGCTTAGTACTATATAGTATTAAGTATAATACTAATATAAGTACTAAGTACTAAATATACTATAGTACTTTAAATAATAAATGTTCATTTTGAATGAAAAGAAATAGACAGTGTCCCTTGGAAGATTATTGATTCTTGGGTGGTGAAAGTTTCCCATAATTTCAAAATAATCAGTAAATGCTTAACTGATATACAGTGTGAGTAAGTTTTGTATTTAAGTAGAAGCAAACTATTTGTATTTTAGCAGGAACATATAAAGTGATTCTGAAGATTAAGTTCCCTGCTTCTGTATTAGAATCAGGCCAAGGTGATGGAAAAACAGAAGTTATATTGCAGGACTTTTTGTTTTCTTTCCTAAAAAATTAAAATATAAACTGTATTCAAATGTTCAGGAAATGTGAAAAATCAGTATTTAGAAAGTTGAGAATCTATTTCACTATCTTTACTCTCAAACTCCACTTATTGATCCAAAGTTTGAACAACGGTGTAGATGAAAGTAAGGAGTATGCCCATAAGCTATTGTGCCCTCAGATAAAAATATGAAGATGGTGAGCAAGGACAGCAGGTAATTTGCTACTGCTAGTTCTATGTCCTGATTATTTCATGGTTTCCAAGTATCTGAAAACTACAAAAAAGATAAGTGAAAGAGGTCTTGTGGGTCAAACATAGAATGGTTTAGATAGGGTCACCTCTTTTACAACTTAGTATAAAAT